CAGTATTCGAGGAATTTTTATTTGACACTAGCTGTTTCCCGCACTTCGTCAACGTGGAATTAATTACGATTATAAAGTTCATGGGTTTAAACTAGAGATGGGCCGAATATTCGTTTCATATTCGATATTCGGCATATTCGGCAGCTTTGCCGAATATTTGTAATCGGTCGAATATTCGGCCAAATCACCGAACATTAGTTAAAGTGGTTTTCAAAGTGTTGACTGTATTAAAAAATTGAAATATACAAATTGAGTATTGCCATGTCTTTCATTTTCAATTTTAGTGTTTAAAGTGTATTTTATTTATGGATTAAATCTACTTGCATAGCGTTATGTTTTTGAGGCACTGTAAATTTATTTCCAATCATAGCAAATAGAAAGCTTGATAAAATATTTTTGGAATCAGACAAAGAAACATTACATTACATTAGCACATTTAACTTTACTTTGGTCGTCAGTTTCCCTAAAATAAGTCCAATTAGTATTTTATCACATATTTATCAATATTCACTAAGAATAACACAATGAAATACTATTATTTTCGCAAGAATAGTCTAAACATAAGCATGTGCCGGCAATTTGCTCAGTACTAGATACTGCAATAACATGTCAGGTGTAGCGGGGGTTGCGAGGGGCTGGATCCGGCGCTAATCCTCCGCGTTTTACGGTAACAATTTTCGACATAAATTGGTTACGTACCGAGGTGACCCTGCCGAATAATGTTCGGCCGAATATTCGTGTTTGGTGAAATCCATATTCAGCCCATCTCTACTTACTATATATACATATATGTGTATATATATCTGAAATAAAAGCCTATGTTGCCTATGTTACTCCTTATAACAGAGTTTTGGCGGGAACTTGGCCGTCGACGGATTGTTGCTCTTGTTTTGTGGCTTGAATAATGGTTTGAAGTGGATTTTGATTCGTAAAAGTGATGTGTCTGCGCGTGTGAACTATTAGAGAAAACGACGAAACAAGTGCTTTGATGTCAATATAAACCTCAACTTAATTTGATCGCTTGGGCGCCTTATGAGCTTGAGTGGCTGTCGTCATCAACTGTCCACTGGGTTGAGCTGTCGTCAAAATCTCCCAAGGGCTTCGCAATGTGACGCATCAGCATATTGTGAACAAAAAGAACATAAAATGAAGATTCCAAAAGAAAGGATAGGCTCAGAAGGTCTAGAAACCAGAGCCGTAAAGCCAGTTAATAAAAAAAATCCTTATAACATCAGCTATCTGCCAGTGAAAGTCCCGTCAAAATCGGTCCAGCCATTTCAGAGGTGAGCCGGCACAAATGGACAGACAAATACTCAGACAGACACACAAACATTTAATTTTTTTGTTATAAGTATCGTATATATACTTTCGTATGCATTCAGTAAAAAGCTGTTATTTTTAAATTACAAACGGAGTAAATTATATTCATTCGAATATTTCCGCAAAGGCTTTCGTGAAACAGTTTTTAGCTTTTAGTAAGTTTACACTAAATATAAAGTACTTTTTATAATAAGGCCATATTTGTTTAATGAAAATCACAAATTAAATCTCCCTAAGAATTAGTAGATTGACGAAGACACAAATGCTGTTTCTTCGATGGAGATCGGGTGACCTGTAATTCATACAACATATACTCAGCCATTTTTGTTAAAATCGCTATTAATGAACTCTATTGTTAATGCATTATGGTTTTGTGGTAACAAAAATAAATATATTTTCGTTTAATTTTATCAGTGTTTGATTTTTACAACAACATTGAAATAATTGTCAACGCGTTTTTTTTACTCAGCACCACTCGACATTTGTTACGAGTTTTTTTGTGACGAAGGACAAATGAATCATTATATAATAGTGAAAACTGATACACCAATCTCATTTAGAACTCAACGAACGGTCACATTATGAATAATAATAAATAATTAATTAGTAGAAAATAAATATCTCCTCCAATAGAGGTACTAAGTTGTTTTTTCTTTTTACTTATTTCTTTAAACTGTTACAGTTTACATACGTCCCACTGCTGGGCACAGGCCTTCTCTAATTTCTGAGAGGGTTTTAGGGCAAGGAAGTGTCCGCCGCGCTACCCCTATGCGTGTTGGCAAACTTGACATGTCTTTGAAATATTTTTTCTTATTTCTCAGACACGTAGGTTTCCTCACAATGTTTTCCTTCACCACTGAGCACATGGTAAATCAGCACTTAAAATTTCAACTTACAATTTCGTTGGTGCGGGCGGGGTTTGAACCAGGGTTGCTCGCGTACTGTGAAATTTACAGCGAGCGCTTAGCCCCTGAGCTACCACGGCTCTATTACTAGTTACTAGTAGTAAAATCTCTTAAAAATACTAAAAACGCTTTTGAGTTTACCAATACTCCCGTTAACCATTACATGTAAGCTATGTGTATATCTGGTTATGTTAGGAGTGGTTCACGTCAGTTGTTGAATCGCGGATTCAAACTTAGGACAACTAAGTTCATTGGCATTAGACTACTGTTACTTATTCCTTGTAATTTTTTTCTAATAGGGGTGAAGTTTTCATGTTACTATTAAGAAGAAATTAAGATTTTATTATTTCTTACTCCACTCTAAATGGTAGGTACAAAAATATTTTTAATAAAAAATCCGAATAACTACAAAACTAAAAAGTATTAAATAATTTTACATCCTTCGGGACTGCTGCCCGAAGTCAGGGAGTTGACGGTGTTTTGCCCTAGTGCCTCGGAAAGCACTTAAAGCCATTGGTCGTGTGTCGGTTTAGTATCCCATCGGATTATTTGAGAGTGAGAGAATAGAGGGTGCACCTGTGCTTGCCCGTATACTTTGGGCACTATAATTCTGTCCTGCGTCGATGGCTATTCTCCGTTGAGGCACACCGCCGTGACCGAAATTCGGTCTGGATATATACTAGCAGATAACCCACAGATTACGTCCTTAGGCGGTAATCTGTGAGATACCCGCTCGCTTCGCTGGGCGCACGATAATATTTTATAACGGAACCTAGATGTAAAATATAAATAATTTTTTTTGACGGGTCTATCATAAAAGCCGTCCTTAGTGAGCGCCTACATTGCAAAATGAGTAACTATACTCAATTTCATGTCAATCGTGTGTATAGTTTTAGAAATCTGGTGATGAGTCAGTAAGTCAGTTGTATTTCGCTTAAATATACCTAAATACATTGTTAATTGTTATAAATCTTTAAATTCGGCGTTCACTTGTTTACGAAATGGTATTTTTCCTGTGTCAAAAAATCTTAAATATGTTAATCTAATTTTTTTTGAGAATATGCAAAAGCTAAAATCCCTTCAGTTAAAATCCTAATTGTAGAGGTAGTCCCACTTAAGCATGTTTTTATTCAAGTTTCGCTATCCATGTCTTGCAAGTCGGGTATCACTGCAATTAGTGTGACCAATCCGATCGCGGCTATGACTATGTCACTGCTACGCCCTACATCCTCAATTAATTGCACTAGTTGCATAGCGATGAAGCCTCAACTTCCTACTGCTGCTGGACTATCCTCATTTCACGGGATCTTCTTTCTAATGTTTATTTTTCTTTCTTATCACACGTAAAAGTTCTTAGCTGAAGTTACCATACTAGGTCGTAAGCCATTTACCACCTAGGAGAGTGTCTGGGTGGGTACCCCATTGTTACATATTTCTACTGCCAAGTAGCAGTCCCTGCACGGCTATGTTCCGGTTTGAAGGGTATAAAGAGCCTGTATAATTTTTTTATTGGGTAGGGTGGCAAACGAGCACACAGTCCACCTGATGGTAAGTGGTTGCTGTGGCCCATAGACACCTACATGTATCCTCGATTACGAATCAAAATGCAGATGTGTTGTCACCCGTGAGGACTAAGATGGAATGCCTCATTTCTAGTAAAAAGGGTCTCCGGTTCTCTACACTTACCATACGAAACACAGCAGCAATAAGCTACTATTTTACGCTGGTATTCTGAGAGTGTGGTCCTTCCCCGGTCGAGCCGACGCATTCGTGCTACTACTATACCACTAATATAACTGCAGCATGGCTCTACCACATATATATAACTGCAATATGGCTCTACCACGTATATATAACTGCAGCATAGCTCTACTACGTAAATTACAAGCTGTGAGACAATTCATCTTAGTCCTCAGAGGTGACAACGCTTCTGTAGCCTTCATTGTTTGAAGTTGGTTGCACATGTCCATGGTCTGATGTAGCCACCCAACATCAGTGAAACTGGCCGTTTTTAAATTCAATTTAATAAAAAAAAATATCTTTAATCTTCATTTTTTTAAACAAACGTTGCCTCTACACTAGGATTTTCTCTTGTATCGGGCAGTTTATATACATAAATTTCACCGTCCACATAAGACTGACTAACTAACTAACTTTTAGACTGTTTTTTCTCACTTTACTCTCATTAATATTAAAATTTTGTGTACTTGAACTTGAGACCAACTTGACGGTAGTGAATGAAAACACGATCACTGGGACTACTGCTTGACTGTGCCCTTCTACCGTCCTCGTTCACTTTTGCAACAAGTTTCTCGTGATTGCCCACACCGATGTAACACTATGCTAATATTTTTTTTGCACCGAATATATCGCCCATGCGTAAATTTCTTGCATTTTCGTATTGCTTGTTTGAAAAATTTTGCAAACGACGCATGCATTAAAATTACTTAAAATCAATGTGCTTAACCGACTTTCCCTACGTGCGTTTTGTTAGACACCACATAATTATTCAAATCAGGCAATAAAATATTCGCGCTAATTTAAAACCTAATAAAAATTCGTTTATACGAATTATCTAATTTGATATGGTAATGTCAAATCGTAACAATTTTAAATTTTATGTATTTGGATCTTTAACTTTGCTTACAAAAAATTTGTTTTTCACTTACTGTCAAAAACCGCGCTAATGCAAATTAAAAAAAAAACAATATTTAGAAGTGCACAAACGAATAGAAATTATTTATTGCCGCTTTACGCACTAATTCCCTCGCATACCTGAAACTCTTGCACGGTGACATCTTCATAGATCGCGCTTGCGTTACGGTTTCCACATCCGCATGGTAGGATATGCACGCGCGCGCGCTGCGGGTGCCGCTTGATCACTGCCGATGATTATCGACATTCAGCATGTCGGACACATCCTCTCATTGAGCAACCGCTGCAAAGGACGCCTGAAATCATTAGCTCGAATCCGTAACTTCGCCGGCCTCACTGCGACTCGCGTGATAAATCGAAATATAGATCAATAATTACAGGTAAAATCCGATGTGTAAAATATACGAGCACCATATTTTTTTTTCAATGTCATGTACAAATATGATGCATATAACGTTGTTACTATGTTGAATGCTATTAAAGTATGAACAACATGTAACAAAAATCCCGTGGTTCCCGTGAAATATGTATTTTTGTAAAGCGACACCCGAACTACTTCAAAACCCACGCTGAATCTCTCGAAAGGCAAACAAGGCATAAAAATAGATTATTTCATCCCAAATGCAGCTCTAGATTTTATGCAAACAGTGCTCCTGTAACGGATAAAATATATATATATATATAATAAATTGCCCAATAACTTAAAAGAAATGCCTTTGAATAAATTCAAAATTGAGATTAATAAATGGCTTCTTGACAAGTGTTATTATAGTGTTAAGGAATATTTTAATTAATTGCAATATTATTTAATGTATTATATAATTTATTTTATCTTTTGACATATATGTACAATTAAATTTGATTATTTTAAGATATATTTGCACACCGGTACAACTCCCGGTAGAATATTATTGAGACTTACTCTTATACTAAATACCTGTATTACCTAAACATTTTATTCTGCAAATAAAGATTTTGACTTGACTTGACTTGACTAAGTGCGTTGTCAGAATCACTATTCAAATGTAGAAATGACTTTAGAAAACTCAACCATGAAAAAATTGAATTGTATTTCAATAGTTTTTGTATTTTTTATGTTTTATTACTTCTACATTGTCTGAGAAGTAAGAGTATTTAAGTTTAAGAGTAAATCTTCCTGCCAAATATTGTTGATGGATACCAATTGGTCAAAAAGACAATCTTGTCTTCGACAATAATCCAGGCTATTACCGGACATGTTGAATTCCATGATGGTGAATTTATACGTGATAGAGCATTGCTGCAGCTATAATATGGTTGTAGCACGAATGGGTCGGCTCGACCGGGGAAAGACCATGCTCTCCTAGAATACCAGCGTGAAATAACAGCTCAATGTTGATGTATTTCGTACGGTGAGTGTAGAGAACCGGAGACCCTTTTTACTGGAAACGAGGCATTCCATTTTAGTTCTCAAGGAAGGCAACGCATCTGCATCTTGAAGATGTAGATTTCTATAGGCCACAGCATCCACTTACCATCAGGTGGACCGTGTGTTCGCTTGTCACCCTAAAAATAAAAAAATCTCAGAGTACCGTTCAAAGTACCGTTTTCGGTGCAAAGAGAATGCATCGTGCCCATGTGAGCCAGGGGTCGAGGAGACGGATTTGCATATCTTGCTGGAATGTCCTAGATTCGCAACAAAAAGATCCAGCTTTATCGATGAGCGTATCAGTTAGATCTAATAAAACCACATAAAACTTTCACGAATTTAATTAAATTTATTTTTTTAAAGTTGTTTGTAGACTGATACTGATAACACACTTAATGGAAATCACAGAGTTTTTTGTAGCATGTTGTATTATATGAGAATAAATAAAATACGAGGTAGCCTTTTATTTTGACAACGTCTGATACTAGGGCCACGAACCCGACTGCCAAGTGAGATTGCGATTGCGGAATTTATTCATAAAATCGAAGAAACATGTCCAGAAATTATTACTGAAGTAAGAAACCAAAGGAAGGGACACGATTTCTAATTTTGTACCATCACTTTTCACTCTTTATAAACCAAAACGATGCTACTGTATTGATTATGTACTCTTTGCTATGCTACATTGACAAAGTTGGGCTTACTGGGCACTTCAAAAATGATAACCAAGAACATTAATTTGTAGAAGATTATTGCAGGCAGTGCTTGTCTAGCCATTATCTTTTTTACTTATTCTATCTTATTTATATTTCTTATTTTATACGTTGTAACGGTAACGGTACGAGTTCTTTTTAAAAATAGAATGAGAGTGACAAAAGAGAACGCAGTCCACCTGATGGTAAGTGGATGCTGTGATCCATAGACATTCTCGATTAAGAATCAAAAAGCACGTGCGTTGACACACCTGCGGATTAAGATGGAATGCCTCGTTTCCAGTAAAAAAGGGTCTCCGGATCTCTACACTCACCATACGAAACACAGAAGTATTAAGCTCATAGATATAATAATGAAGTTTTTAATATTTCTATGATTAAGCTGCTATTTCACGCTCGCGCACGGTGTTTTGTGAGAGCGTGGTCCTTCCCCGGTCGAGCCCACCCTTTCACGCTACAACCATAATATAGTTGCAGCGTGGCTTTACCACACGTATGAGTATATGAGTAAGTAGCTATATCAAGAAATCGATAAAATTATTTTTCATCTCAAGTCCACAACGTAAAAGTTGTTGTATGGTATTTGGGTTTTTGTTTATACTTATAAATGAACAGACTTGCAATAAAAACTTGACTTGAATAACTCCGGTCCTGTACATTTGCAATTACAAAATACAGGACCGGAATTATTCATACATAGAGGATACATAGAGGGGTAAGGCCTTTATCACTAGAAATGATGCCATTATAGAATGGATCATCCGATCTCGCCAGGAAGTAATCACGGAGGCTGCACACTTCGCGATTATGCATGGTGAGCGCGCTCAGAAAACCACGTCCACCATGCTTTCGCGGCAAGTACAGCCTCATTACCGACGATCTCGGATGATGCATCCTATGGGACGTCATGGTAGTGCGGACTTTTCTATCCAGGGCGTTAAGTTCAGTCTGGGTCCACCTGAGTATGCCAAAGGTATACATGAGGACAGGCATGACCCAACCGTTATATGCGTGTGCCTTATTCACACCGGACAAAAGGCTGTTAAGCACTTTGGTCAAGCGTGCATAAAACACGTCGCAAACTGACTATTTCGTACCAGTCTCATCGATACCGATGTTTTGTGACATACCCAGGTATCGGTATGTTTCAGCCTCGGAAAGGGTCCTTAAGTTGACGGGCATAGATAAGTCTACGCCCTCAGAGTTAGCAACCCTTCCCCTTTCAACATGGAGGACCGCACACTTATCCGTCCCAAGCTCCATTCCAATGGAATTGCTAAATTCACAAGTGATGTTTAGCAATTCCATAAGATGGGAGCGACTGGAGGCGAATAACTTGAGGTCATCCATATAGAAAAGGTGGGTCACTTTTGTCCCTCCTTTCCGTAGCTGAAATCCCCTCCCGGAGCCCTCCAGTAAGGTACTGAAAGGGTTCAGAGAGAGGCAGAACCAGATTGGACTCAGACAATCGCCCTGGAAGATACCCCTTCTTATCCTTATGTGGTTCTCCGCAGCCATCATCCGCTCGCCCAGATGACAAAGGATCGTACTCCACTGCCCCATACACTGCTCGAGGAAGTCTCTAACTGTACAGTCTATCTTGTACAGCTCGAGGACTCTCTTTAGCCATGTATGGGGCACCGAGTCGAATGCCTTTCTGTAGTCTATCCAGGCGGCGGAGAAGTTCCGACGGTTGCGTCCTTGGTTCCACGACCACCGCCCCGACATCCATTTTGAGCGCGCGACATCACCTGATTTGAGTCCAGGTGACAAGTGATTCTCGCGCTCAAAATGGATGTTAGTGTCTTGTATATGGTCGGTAGACACGTGATGGGGCGGTATTTGCTCGGGTCTGTGGTACCCTGGTCTTTAGAAACCAAATGAGTTATCCCAGTAGTGAAGAGGCTTGGGAGCGACTTCTGGTTGAGAGCCTCTTGAAACTGTCGGGCGAGCACAGAGTGACACACCATGAACCCCTTCAGCCAGTAGTGATGCAGCCCGTCAAGCCCCGGACTTTTCCAGTTCGGGGCCCTACGGACCGCCTCAGCTACGTCATCCGGCGTTATGATGACGGGGTCCATGGGCGTAATACCCGCACACTGACTCGCCACAACTTCCGTCCAAGGGCCCTCGCTGTTGTTTACGGGCTATGACCACAGGCCGCGCCAGAATGCTACAGTGTCGGCCTGATTCGGTGCTGGACTCGTTCCACTTACCATTGGTCGCTCCAATGATTCATAGAGCCTCTTTTAATCACTCTGGATGAGACGATTCTGGTTGAACCGTGTCGACCTCTCGGTATATCGCCGAATCCGCTTTCCCCGAGCAGCGATTCTCTGCTTCAGATCATCTATGCGCTCCGTCAGTTTTTGCGTTATATCCGGCTGGGACAAACTGACATTTGTCCCAGCAAACGCCATCCTGACGGTGCGCACAATTCTTGGCCTGTTGTTGCCTGATCTGAAGCATATCAGTCTGCCGATGAGAGCTCTAGCCTTTGCGATACGTTCCTCAATTCTTCTTCTCCATGCTGGGATAGAGCTACTTTGGCCAGTAGCGCGTCCAGCCGTGGAAACCCTGGCGCCTATGATATGGCAGACTGCCAGCGCGGCGCCAAAAAGAATTGAGTCCGTCTCGCAAAGGTCCCGGCTGGCTTCCAAATAGGTCACCAGCATTGAGTTCAGAGCCCTCACGACAGCCCGATTCCGCTTGCTTAGGGCTATGCGGGGAAGTCGCGGTCGATTTTCGAGAGGCGTACTGCGCGTTTCCACAATCGCCTCTTCCAATGTACTCCTCATATGCTCTAATTCCAGTTCCTGGGCGACTGTTCCATCATCGTTTGAATCAACCACAACTGGGGTATTCACGGCGGCATCCACGTTTGCGGGTTGCTCTACCATTTGTGGCGCCGCATTCTCAGCCGTAGCATTCTCATCCGACGAGGGAACAGCCTCACGTCGTAGCCGTTCGAGTTCGGCGACATCAAATATATTTGAGCGCAAGATATACCGAACTCGGTCTGCCAGGTTTTGCTCTGTGACGGTTAAAGATGGCTCCAGCTCAGTAAAAAGACGATGCATCCTAGCCCGATACGCCAAACATCCAGTTTCTCCCCCTTTCGCCCTAAAATACGCCCGCAATGCGTTGCTGTTCATCTGGGTTACTCTAACTAGGTTACTCCACCAGAGGCGGGTGCCGATTGCTGGGCCCGCGAAGACCCTGCCGATACCAAGCAAGCTGGTGGAGATAATGGATGCGCCGGGCTACTGGGTGGTTGTGCAGCACCTCGCGCTCGGCTGGCGGTTCGCATGCTGCCGCGTCCAGCGCCAGCTCCAGACGCGCCCTGGCGACCTCCAGGCAGCGGCCCTTTGCGCGTTCTATTTAATTCCATCATCCATTTTTAGGGCGTCATTTAGCGGGAGACGCCCAGACCCGGCGCCGTTTCATGTTGAGGCCATGTGCACAAGCGGGCCTTTGCACCTTCAATTTTTGTCGAGGCACGGCACTAACACCTCTTGGCAAGGTGCTGACTGACTGCGCTGACGTAGCGGTTTTGTCACATAACCGTTACGTCAGCGGGCGATGGGGTCGTCACTTCCCTACGCCCTTCTGGTTGGATCTTTATTATTATTATTATTATGTGGGGTATCTATATAGTTTTCTCATCTGGTTGGGTTCTATAAATATATAATTATAAATGAAAATGAAAAGATAAATATACATAAATATCAATAACATAAAATAAATATAAAAGTACATAAATAAATAAAAGCCCAACCAGATGGAGGCCCTCGGCAGGGGAGACCAAACGGCCGAGGGTTAGGGGGAAAGGGAAAGAAACCGGCGGACGATGCGGGCGGTATCGAGGAGCACCGCCTTCTGCATTTGAACCCGGAGCGGTCCGCCACGTAGTCCCAACCGCCTCAGATGACCCGAGAGGCTGACTGGGATTAGCCCGTTTGCAGAGACGACTACAGGAATAATTTCGGTCGGCAGACCACCCCACATGTCGGTCACCTCGTGAGCCAGGTCCAGATATTTTGTTTGCTTGTCTGTTTCGGCTTTCATGAGGTTCTCGTCATACGGAATGGTAATGTCGACCAAAAATATCCTTGACTGTGCCCGGTCCATCAGCACAATATCAGACTTATTCGCAAGAATAGTCCTGTCTGTGATGATGGCCCGGTCCCAATAGAGCCTGGCGCGATCATTTTCGAGCACGGCTTCCGGCAAGTACTTGTAATACGGCAATTTCCGATCCACGAGACCGTATTTCAGAGCGAGCTCCTGGTGTAGAATTCTGGCTACTAGGACAACCTAGTAGCCAGAATTCTACACCAGGAGCTTTCTAACTCTGAGTACTTGCACAGGCACAAGCCTGTGCAAGTACTCAGAGTTAGAAAGCGCCGAACAACCGGAGATAACATGCCTAAGTGACTCACCACGGCATCCACGTTTGCGGGTTGCTCTACCATTTGTGGCGCCGCATCCTCAGCCGTAGCATTCTCATCCGACGAGGGAACAGCCTCACGTCGTAGCCGTTCGAGTTCGGCGACATCAAATATATTTGAGCGCAAGATATACCGAACTCGGTCTGCCAGGTTTTGCTCTGTGACGGTTAAAGATGGCTCCAGCTCAGCAAAAAGACGATGCATCCTAGCCCGATACGCCAAACATCCAGTTTCTTCCCCTTTTGCCCTAAAGTACGCCCGCAATGCGTTTGCATTCATTGCTTGTGACCAACGCATGCGACGTGCTCCACCAGCGGCGGGTGCCGCTTGCTGAGTCCGAGAAGACCCAGCCTTCTGGTGGGGATGATGGATGCGGAGGGCTGCTAGGTGACCGTGCAGCTCCTCGCGCTCGGCTGGCGGCCCCCTGGGACGCGCCGCTGGGACGCGCCCTGGCGACCTCCAGGCAGCGGCCCTTTGCGCGTTCTAATTGATTCCATCATCCTTATTATTATTATTATTATTATATTTTGTTATTATTATTATTATTATATTTTGTACATTTCTATATTCTCCCTATTAAAGAGGTAACTTAAAACCTAATCACACGGGCCGAAGCCAAGCGTGAGCAGGTGCTAGGTGATGGTGTAAGCAGAGGTGACGGATGACGTGGTGAGGAATTTGCGTGTGAGTCGGCAGGTGTTGAGAATGACAGCTTTCTGCAGGGTGTGAAGTGTGTGTTGGGGTACTTGCAAAATATCTAGACTGCGTTGTAGGCTTTTAGGTATAACTCCGGTAGATGAGATAACTATTCGGACTATATGGATGGTTTCTGCTCTCCATTGACGTTTGAGTTCTATAGCTAAATCTTGATATTTTGTAAATTTTTCAGCTATGGTGGATTGAATGTTATGGGTGTTTGGTATGGCAATGTCAATAAGGTAAGTAGTTTCGTTATTTTTGTCATACACTGTGATATCGGGTCTATTGAAGTGAATAGTTTTATCCGTGATAATGGTCCTGTCCCAGTAGATTCTATAATTATTGTTTTCTAATATGGTGTCCGGCTTATATTTGTAATATGGTGTCATTTTTTGTATGAATTTAAATTTAAGGGCAAGATATTGGTGTATTGTGGAGGCAACCTGGTCATGCCGATGCTTATAATCGGTTTGGGCAAGAGCTCTACAGGCGGATGTTATGTGTTGTATGTTTTCGGGGCTAGAGTGGCAATGTCTGCAAGTATCAGTGGGGAGGTTAGGTGCACGTATTATGTGTCTCTGGAAGTTTCGTCCTGGATCGCTAACATGAATGCCTCCGTCTCTGGGAAGAGTTCACCGCGCCTCAGCCAGGCGTTCGACGCTTTTTTGTCGACATGTGATAGCTACAGGTCGTGGTAGTGCCTTCCGTGTAGGGACTTTTGTTGCCAGGAGGCCATCTTCTCTTTTACGTCAGTGATCCGTTCACTGCGTTGTGTGTTTCGGTCCGCGAGGTTAAGTGGTGTGAGGCGTTTGTCGGCTAAGGTTACTATTTCGTGGAGAAGTGAGTGTTCTGAGCGTTGATGGAAATATTGTCGAAGGGATTTGATTTGTTTATTGTGCAAGTTGAGGACATCTATTATACCTCGTCCTCCCTCGGATCTTGAAAGAGTCATCCTTTGCACGCATGATCTAGGGTGGTGGTGGTAGATTGATAAGGTCGCCTTGAGTCCAGTTTATTATACCAAACGAGTATGTCAGTATAGGGATTGCGTAACTATTGTTTGCTTTTGACATGTTGCGGGAGTTGAGTTGAGACCGGAATATACTATTGAGCCGGTGTTTAAATTTCTTTTTGAAACCTTCTTTCGTTTCCTTTTAATGGATCTGTCGCGCTTGTTGGAAACCTAAGTATTTATATGAGGCGTGGGGTTCTAGAGGTTCAATCGTGTCTCCTGTTACTAGGCTATAGCTGTTGGGGTTAATTTTTCCATTTTTAGCCGAGAAAGTTTTGCACTTGTCAATCCCAAACTCCATATGAATGTCGTTTGAGTAAGATTGGGTGATGTCTGCGAGGCGATGCAATGACTGTATAGTGTTACTGTATAGTTTTATGTCATCCATGTACATCAGGTGTGTTAGAGTGGTGTGTTTGTATGGTGTGATGATAGAGTAACCATAATTGGTTATGTTCAGCACTTGCGAGAGAGGGTTTAATGCGAGATAGAACCATACAGGGCTAAGCGCATCCCCTTGGAAGATTCCTCGACGTATTGGAATTTCGGTTGTTTCTATACAAGAAGTTCCTATGGTTTTGAATGTAGTTGTCCAGCGCTGCATTGATTTTTCAAGAAAATGTATAAGTTGTGGGTGAATTTTATAGTGTTGAAGTACATGTAGGAGCCAGCTGTGCAGTACGGAGTCGAATGCTTTTCGGTTGTCAATATACATTGTATTGATGTTCTTCCTTTTAGAAATAGCGTGTTTCATTGCTACGGAGTCTATTATGAGTTGCTCTTTACACCCCTGACTACTTTTTCGACATCCATTTTGTTCTTCAGTAAGGATGTTGTTTGTGGCTATATGTTGATGTAAGAGTTCGGCTATACATGCTTTAAGTAGTTTATAAATGGTTTGGAGGCATGTGATAGGTCTGAATTTGGCAGGATTTTGATGATCTGCGTCTTTCGGAATCATGTATGTGAGGCCTTGTGTAATGTATCGGGGCATTATGTCTGGCTTTTGTATAAAATCATTGATATGGTTATGAAGTAGAGGGTGAATTGTTGAAAGTTTCTTATACCAGTAGTTATGTATACGGTCACTTCCGGGTGCTTTCCAGCTATGGGTTTTTTTTTTAATATATGCACAAATACTTCCAGAGGTATTTGTTCAAAAGCCATTGGTGTGATAGAATCAGTTACTTCGGAATCTGTTTTCAGCCATTCTGCCTCAGTGTTCTGGTGAACCGGTATAGACCAAATACCATACCAGAAGCTATGTAATTCATTGGCGGCTGGTAATGGTGCATCTTGCCTATTTCTATGTGTGTCGTGTTGTGTGTCTGAAGTCAGGCTCCTATAAAATTGTTTTTCATTATTGATAAACTGGCTATTTTGTGACTTCCTAAGTGTGCAATTAAGGTATCTTTTTAATCTGTTGGATGCCGCGTTCAGTTTTTGTTTAAGTGTGTCAAGGAATTGTTCATCGCTTAAATTGGGTTCTTCGTGCTGGGAATGTATTCGGTATTTATTTTTTATTGCTTCTACTGACGTGGTGAGTCTATTGCTTCTATTACCTTTGGTATATTCTGTTAGCCTTCCAATGTCTCTTCTGAAATCCAATATCTTTCTTTTTTAACCTTTTCTGCCAAGCAGGTTCTTTATTTCGACTTTGGGTAGGTATTGTGTTTGTGTCTCTGATTTTGGTTCCGTTAATTATAACTACTGTGTACACCACGCAGTAAATTAAGGTCTGAGTGGTCTCAAAATCCTGCTCTCTCGATATGTGATTTGGTAATATTTTAGTGTTTATAAAATCTACAATTTGTGCCAGCCTTTTAGAAGTTTTTTGTTTTGGTATATAAGGTCGTTTAGTTGGGTTGGTATTCCGAAATTTGTCTATTGCTATTCTAAACAGTTCCTGGATTTTTTTCGCGTCATTATTTTCTATTGCTTGGTTTTTTGAGGTTCAGAGGCTTGAGTGGATATCACTGATTCGTCAGGTTGAGGTTGTAAGGTTAAGTTAAGTGTATGCACGGGAGTGTTACTTTCTATAATGAATGGATGAACGTCGACTTCTTGTGAGTTTTCTCTTTCGGGTGATGAAAGTGATGAATTATTTTCCATATTGTCTCGTCGGGAATTCAGGTTGCTTGCTATATTTTCACGTATCTTTTGAAGTCTTTGGTCATTAATCATTTTATTGTTCAATATTACTCTGAGCTGATCTGATATTCGTTGTTCACTTACGCATGTTAACTGAGGGTGTTCTTCTATGACTGCTTGATGGAGGGGTCTACGGTAAGGTGATTTATTTTCTCCAAGTTTGGTAATTTTATAGTAATTTCTCACAATAGATTCGTTTTGGTCAGCTGTCCATCGTCTTCTTTGTGTCAAGCCTTGCTGATTGCTAAAATGTGGTTGCGTGTGTGATTGCGTGATCGAGTCGGTTTGTAGATGATTGGTATTACTGTGTGTTTGTTGTAAGTATACTGCAACTTCGTTCCTTATATGATCTAATATTTTTTGGGGAAGTAATTTATTTCTGAATATAGCTCTGAATTGATCTCCCAACCTTTGTCTTGATGCCTGCATCTGCGGATATTTATTAGTGAATTCTTTATGTAGATGATCGAGGTATATTTTGTTAGTATTTAATTTAGTGGCTATAAGGTATGTGCGCAAGATGAATTTATTCATTACTTCTGTCCATCTTTTGCGCGCACGCTTTCTGTCTGGGGCGGGTGCAGGTTCAATGGCGACAGCCTCCTGCACAACGTCCTCAGACATGGGTGATACAGAGTCTGATCTCGTTGAAGTCTGGTATGAACGTGGAGATGAAGTAGATGACTCGAATGAATGGAAAGGTGAGGGTGTCGATGAGATTATATCGCTTAGTATGTCGGAGTCCGTATGTGTCGCTTGGGTCGTTCGACGGGTTGCTTTCGTCACTCGGGGATTCTTCGCACCCCTAGGCCCAGTCTCAGGCTGGCTTCCGTCATAACCAGTGCTGCTACTGTGTCCGCCGAGCACTTGGGGCCGGTTACTTCTTGTTAATACCATAATTATTCTCCATTTGGGCTTGGGTGTGGGACCGTTAGTTGGGGAGGGTTAGCAAAGGTGTTAGTGGTTAATAAAATGTACCTCCTGTATCGGTAATTATACAGGGTATGGTCAAGTTCGTAGTGACCGCTGTTAGGTTCATGCCTCCCTTAAGCTCCCCCCACCACGTCAAGGTGGTCCCCGGGGGGGGGGTTATTATTATTATTATTATTATGTCCAAAAACACCTTTAGGATACTGGAAAAAATTCCAAGTATGAGGCAGTATGAAGATAACTTCCCTAAAAATTTTGTTCCCGGTTTAAGCATAAATACGTAGATAATTTAATATGCATAACATATTATTTAATACGTTATTATGTATTACAGAATGTGCAAATCATCATGCAACCCATGTATTCAAAATTCTTGTTAGCGAGTGGCCAAATGGGGACATCTGGATTTAAAATTTCACACACAGCATCCAGTTACCATCATGTGGACTGTGCCGTCCTTATTCTTTTAAAGAAATAGTGACTATAAATGACTTTACCGATTTAATATTTATTCTGGTACTGCTGAAAATGAGTTAGGGGGCAATGCTCTGCGATCATAAAGATTCTATTCAGCTATGTTGTCTAGTTAGAGAATAGTGTAAAATTATTTTAAGTTTCTTCTAATCTTCCTTGTTCTCTTCTACTCTTATATGTTGACAGAGAAGAAGATAAATAAAGATATCGTCATCGTAAAAAAAT